TATGAAGTTTCCACTTAATACCAAGCACATGAGTCAATTGTTGTAAACACTGATGGATAAAGGCTAGACCATTGTCTGATCCGTTAGAACACGGAAGTCCATATCTGGGTATAACTTCTTGCAACAGAAATCATACAACTTCTCCTGCCTTTTCTGTATGAGTTGGACAAGCTTCTACCCAACCTGAGTAGGTACACACAGCTACCAACAAGTAACGATATCCCCCAGATTTAGGCATTACAGTGTAGTCTATTTGCAAATCTGACATTGGGAGTCCTCCCATATATTGAACTCCAGGGGGTTTGACAGGGCCTTGTCTTGCATTGTTTCGAGCACACAAAACACATCTTTGAACAATAGCTTGAGTAAGATTGGATAATCTTGGTATGTAGAAATGTTTCCTGAGAGATTCTTCCATACTATCTCTTCCTGAATGTGTACCATTATGGAAGTTCTGAACAACCTCTATAGCCAGAGATGTCGGAATAACTATTCTTCCATCTTCTAACTGATACCAATTATTCTCCAAGTATTTCCCAGCTTCAGTCTTCAACCACTCCATCTCTTGAGTTGTATATATCGGAGTCCATTGAGACAGAGGTGCCGGCACAAGGGCAGCAACATACCCCACATATTCCTCTTGCCCGGATTCAGCGGCATGTTTTGCTGCACTATCGGCACCTTTTAGATGTGCCCTGCAATGTATAATACCGACTTCCTTCGGTTCCCATACCGCCTCTAACAGTTGGAGTATTTCTGCTGCAGTATTGATTTCTTTCCCTTCTAAATTCAACAATCGCCTTTCTTTATACAATGCTCCATGGGCATGGGTGGTTAGAAAAGCGTATTTAGAATCTGTGTAAACATTCACTCTCAACCCTTCAGCTAACTGCAAGGCCCTTGTTAATGCAATCAGTTCCGCCTTCTGTGCTGATGTCCCTTTCGACAGTGGCCGTGCTTCTATCACCTTGTCTATAGTTGTTACCGCATACCCTGCATAACGTATACATTCTTTCACATAACTACTACCATCCGTATAATACTGTATGTCCGGATTCTGGATGGGGAAATCATGAAGATCAGGCCTGCTTGAAAACACTTTATCGATTATCTCCAAACAATCATGTTGACTTTCAGTAGTCTGGGGAAGAAGGGTAGCTGGGTTCAAATTATTGACAGTTTCGAGGTGTACTTTTGGATTTTCACATAACATAGCTTGATATTTGGTCATTCGACTGTTGCTAAACCAATGATTTCCTTTGTAATCCAATAGGGTCTGTACTGCATGGGGTACTCGCACATAGAGTTTCTGACCCAATGTGAGCTTGTCAGCTTCTGCTACCAACAGGGCAGCGGCGGCCACTGCTCGCAGACAAGGTGGAAGACCACTGGCCACTGCATCCAACTGTTTGGACATATAAGCTACAGGTCTTTGCCATGATCCCAAATACTGAGTTAATACTCCCACAGCCATTCTTCTTTGCTCATGTAAGTACAGATAGAAAAGACGCGTGTGATCTGGTAGACCTAGGGTTGGGGCACTCATAAGTGCTTTCTTAACATCCTCAAATGCCTTCTGTTGTTCAGAGGTCCAGAAAAAGGGGTCATATTCTGTGCCTTTCACAGCTTCATATAAAGGTTTCGCCAGTATCGCATAATTAGGAATCCATATCCTACAGAATCCTGCTGCTCCTAAGAATTCTCGCACTTGTCTTCTATTCTTAGGTATAGATATCCGACACACTGCTTCTTTTCTTTCAGGTCCCATTATTCTTTGACCTTCGGAAATATAGAATCCTAAATATTTAACAGTTGACTGGCACAATTGCGCTTTCTTCCTTGATACCTTGTATCCTGCTCTCCATAGAATGTGAAGCAAATCATAAGTTGCTTGTTGGCATATCGCTTTAGTAACAGCTGCTATCAGATCATCCACTTATTGAAGCAATAAGTGGATGATCTGATAGCAGCTGTTACTAAAGCCCAGGTGGATTACTCTCTGCCCATACTCCTGGAATGTCAAATAAAGGTTCATCACTCTTAGGGTTTAAACTTGTCATTATGGAGTAGAAGCACCATTCTTCTTCCCTTGGCACCGATACTGCCATTATGCCTGATAATCCATTAAACCTCAGAGACGTTGATCCATTAGGTAGAAAAGTTATCTGGACTTGAAGCTTCGATAATAGATCTTGTCCTAGAAGTTGAATCGGACACTCTGGCATATATAGGAACTGGTGCTTCACCAAATGGCCTCCCAGAATGCAAGTGCAACTTTTAAGAACCGGTCTATCACAGTTATAGTTTTTCCTGAAGGCGGAGCCACCAGTTTTAGTCACCACGGAATGTTCAGCACCAGTGTCAATCATGAAAGAACTTCTCTTTCCCCCTATTGTTACATCGACCATAGGCTCCGCTCGGCCAAGGGGGATGGAGCCCGGTCGGTATCAATAGTCTTCCATGATAGTGTCAGCCAGACCCACAAAATCTCTATCCTCTCTATCTCTTGGTCTCTGAGTAGGTGGATAATATCTATGTCCTTGAACACTCCCTCTACTATTCCTACCGTTCCCTCCAAAACTTCCTCTTCCTCTATAACTACCACAATAACCTACCCGTACTCTTCTCTCTCCTTGTCTATTATTTTCATAATGCTCTCTCTGTGGACACTCATTCTTCCAATGTCCTTCCTCTCTACAAAACGCACATTGATTCCTACTTAAAGGTCCCTTACTCAGCCTATTCTCGACTCTTTTATTCACTTCCCTTCCCTGTCTTTTTACTGCCTTCTTCCTCATTTTACGTTCTTCCTCTCGCTTTATCTCAGTTTCCCTATTCACATACACTTTATTTGCGATCTCCATTAGCTGTGATATGGGCATCCCTACAAATCCCTCTAACTTTTGCAATTTTCTTTTATCACCTTCGGCCTGGCTGACAAATGCTGAGTTAATCATTCGAGAATTCTCAGGGGCCTCTGGATTAAGAGGAGTATACAATCTATATGACTCCAATAATCTTTTATAAAAGGCACTAGGTGACTCATCAACCTTTTGCAACACTTCAACCGTCTTTGACATATTGATTGCCTTCTTCCCTCCTGCCTTCATGCCAGCAATAATGGCTTCCCGATAAGCCCTTAACTGGGGCATGTCAGCACCATTCACATTCCAATTTGGGTCAACATTTGGATAATGGGCTGCAGCCCATGCAGCTGTATTGGCCTGATTTTGAGTACGGGCCGTTTCTTCAAGCGCTTGAATAGCCGCTTGATTAATCCGGGTCCTTTCCTCACAATTAAATAAAGTTAATCATAATTGTTGGCAATCGGCCCAAGTGGGATTGTGTGTTTGTATAATAGAGGTAACCAAATCTGTCATGACTTGAGGTTTGTCAGTATATGAAGAGTTATGAGTCTTCCAATTAAATAGATTAGTTGTTGTGAAGGGGACATAGGTAAACACTGGATCTGCCAGTTGTATTTGGCCATTTTCATCAATGTGTGTTGGGCCCGGTGTAAGTCGGAGGGGCATTTGGTAATGTCGGGGTTGAAGGGTACCAGTCATCTGTCGGGTTAATACAGGACTTCGGCGAGGCTGTTTTATAGTAAGTTCTGGTCTAGGGGTAGTAAGGTAAGGAGAATGAGGCGGGTTAATTTTACTGGGCAGAAGTTTAGTCAACAGGATGTTGCGGCCGGGCTGGGAGGAGCCTGACCAGGAACAGAAGTGACGTTAATTACGGATATATAGAACTAGTGGAGGTAGGTACCGGAAGGGGAGGACTCAGGGCAAGTGGGCTGGGCTCTAAACTAGATGAATGAGTGGGCAGGGACAATGGGAAAGGGGAAGTGGAGTTAGATCAAGACTACCACGTGGAGGCCATGCGGTCACCAAGATAGGCCACTCTCTACTACATAATGTAGTCAAACGCTTTGGGGATAATTTCACCCCAAAATCACAAACTTTATATCCCTTTGCAAAGTCTTTCAACATACACGACAAGGGATCAACAATCTTTGAGTCAGACGCACCCATACTGGCAACGGAGCATCTAATACAAAGAAACACAATACCCCAAACACACTTCCAACGATCACACTTCTTTCCCTGGCAACAGCACCACGTGGCACAGTTGCTAGGCCAAACACACACACACACGAAAACACGCAGAGAATTCTCGTACATACAGTGATATCACAACGTCTCACTCACAAAGATTTACCAAACACTAGATACTTATCTCTGTAACTATAAATCAAACCCTACAATTATCCACATTATAAATCAACTTTTAACTAACCGACTATATCACATTCTAGTAACCTTATCTTTACAATCAGTAGTTATGGTACGGTTAGCAAGTGGTTATAATACAGTTTTAAAATCACAGATCAGTTAGTAACAGTTATGGTGTTACACATATAACATAAGACAAGAGTTTTTAGGGGGCGGGGCCTGGCTGCCGACTGAACAGGACGCAGGGTGAGGGAGCTCCTCAACCCTAAAGCATATACATGCTAAAAACACGACAATCTGCCCCACAATCTCACCCAACAAAGACATACCCTGAATCGGAAGCAAACAGGCAGCTTTGGGATGAAAACTCGATGGCAAAACACGCCCGCGTTGCAGAGGGCGCCTTGCGGCCTACTAATAGGCACCGGGCGGGAGACGCGGCCGGTCTCATGTCCACTACTCGACTCACAAGCAGCTTGGGTCTCGCTTTCCCCCCCTCTGGGCCGGTGGGGGTCATCCCGGTCCCCGCTGGGCCACATGCTAAGGTCCTCTCGGGTCAATGTGAATTGCCCACACGACAAACAAAATGCCGTGCAGAGACACCCAAGATGGCGGATGCGCCTATGACGCAAACGTGGATGCAACATCCAACCGACCTTACTGAAGCACTAGGTCAATTTGAAACACGACTAGATGCAGCCTTTGGAAAATTCTGGGCCAACCTAATTGAGCTGATGAACCGAGTGCCCCCTGCGGCGCTGCCACGGGCGAGACAGCAGACATTAAACAAGAAGAGGCAAGTGAGACCCCCCAAAGGCATACCGACCGCACTAAAGACACACCACGCTCCACTATGCCTTCCTGGGCCTAGAGTCACCTGGGGAATACCCCCAAAGCACAGACCACGCAGGCAGGAGGGAACAACGAGACGAAGCCACCGTGGTACAGCTCCTGGTAACTTCCCGGTTGGGAACAACTTGGACTCAAAGAAGACCCAAGTTCGTGGCAACAAGGTGCAGGCTCTGGAACAGGCCTGGGGCCTGGGGAGTACTTCGCCCTCTACCAACAGCGTGGCTTGCTGCAAGGGACATTGCACGTATGTAAGGCAGATGCCCAACCAGGGAATCGGCTAACTTCATGACTCTGGGAGATGGCTGCAGGCCAGGATCAGTCCCCACACAGGGACTCTGACTCAAGACTGCTGACCCAGCGGTATCAAAGCGTATAACGGCGTATATGTTTTATTTTATATTGTTTCACTCTACTTTAGGCTTGTTACCACCTATGCTATCTATCTCTTAAATGCCATGACTAGCAGCCACCTAGCAAGCTAACGTATCGACAGTTAATACTCGAGACTTAAAAACAAAAAATGTGCTGATACTGCATGCCACAAAATGTTTAACATGTGTACTTCTCTTTGCTTGCATCTGCTGTTGTGGCAGTACAAGCGTGTTTGTTTAACTATGCACTGCAAAAATATTAAATAAAAAAAAAGACAAGAGTTTTTAGTAATTTTTACACAACGTCAGTAGTTATAGTACATGTTAATGGTTATAATACTGTGCGGTATTATACAGTATACACACAATTTACACTCCCACAAGACGGCAGAACTCAAGCTTTCTAGCAGGACATACAATTCACCAACTACAGTATATTTAACAACATTTACAATAATCCCAACTATTCTAATTGGCCAGCACCTCGAGAACTATCAAACTATTTACACCAGGATTCGGTTAGTCTACGCTGCCCAAGCACCACATATAGAGAACTAGTGGGCGGAATTTAAAACAGTACCCATTTAGTCTATCTAGTCTATCAATAGTCTAGTGGCTGAATTTACAACCGCGCACACTTAGCCAAGATAGGTTGAGAACTAGCAGACGGAATGTACACCAAAATCAGCTTAGTCTCGCCGGCCTCCCCGACCTAGCGACTGAAATTTACACCTAGACACGCTAGTCAAGACAGGACACCGGTGTCCGGCATAAAATATTTACACCAAGATTTAGCCTGACCCAAACCACCTATATTAGACGGGCTGACTACAGAGCCTCTAATTTCCAGATAAGCGGTGCGCCTTCACATCTTCCCTCCAGAGGGAGGGGGCAATCCAATAACCGGTTCCAAATATAAAACCCCTTGTGGGCCTACCACTCTAACGGTATCAGTCTTACCTCTTCATTCCTGAACCTGGGCTCACACTCATCGACGGGGCACCCTGGTACTAACTACGTAAAGGCCAATGATCTCCTGGGCGAAGCAGCCCAGTGGCGCAGAGATGAAGGGATGTCCACGCAGAAGTTCAGTGGTGCTGCCATAGAGAACATTGGTAAAAGGTTTACCGTCTCAAATCTCTGCGCCAGCTTCCATGCGATGAGGTTCCCGGCCAATGTACCAAAGATGTAACCGAGTAAACTTGCAGACACAGAGAGATGGATGCAGGTTTTCAGGAAGTAAGAGGTCTTTATTAACATACCGATCGGGCCTCAGATGAACTAAGGTTCCAAAACAGGTCTGAGGGCTGAACATATGGAGTACATGCTTTTTAGAGAACTATAACTCCTCCCATTAATAGCTCCACCCGCACATACCTTTAACCAATCAATGGACAGGATTTGGATTTCCTCATATGGGCAGACCACATGGCTCATCCGAAACAAAGGAGAAAGGAATGTAATTTCAGTTCCTGCATTCCTGCACATGCTCAGTACATTGATGACAGTATCTTAGCTATGTGTAACTAACTAACTGATACAACATACACATATGCCACGTGGAAATCTCGGCCTACTAAATTTACATTTCACCGAAATTCCATCACATCGTGATCAGCAAGACAATTTCTTTTTCGCTAATGATGGCTGGGGAATTGACAAAACCTGACTGCGGTATAAGACAAAATAGTCATTAATTTGTCTTATGATATCTTTTGACTACATTAGAGTTGCAATGAAATTCCAACACAGTCAATGTAAGTATTTCATCAAAATTTTATCTTGATGAAATACTTAATTTATTTTGGGTGGGGAGAGGATCGCTTTAAGGGCAACTCGTGAACATACATATAGGTGGGGAGGAAGTGGTCTGCCCATGGTGAAAGGTGGGTCATGATATATCTTGCTCTTTTGGACACTCTCTGCTGCCCAGAGCCCCCTTCAGACTGGCAAGCGAAATACGGTGGTCCCCTACTAAGAGAAACTCAAGAAATATGGCTGGGTAAGAGATACACAAGGAGGAGTAAGAGTTACATAAGAGGTAAGAGGGTAAGAGATACGCACGTGGTAAGAGATACACAACGGGTAAACAAAGGGGATAAACAAAGGTGGCTAAGAGACGCACAAGCGATAAGAGGGGTTTTGCAGATGCACAAGAGATACAGGGAGTGGTTAAGAGACACACAAATAGGTGAGGGGTGCAGAGAGACATATAGGTGGGTCGATTCCCCCCCAAAAAATTACAATTTCTTGGTGTGCCAACACACAATTCTGTCGTAGGTGCCAAACAGGGCCAGCCCGTCCATAGCCTGTGGTGAAGCCACGGCTCCAGGCGGCCCTCTGACAGGGGTGTCATTTTGCCGCCCCTGTCAATGGTGGGCCGGCGGCTCTCTAATTAGGCGAGTTAGCGACCGCCTTAGGCCTCGCGGCTGCTTAACTTGCCATAGGGCAGGCAAACTGTGTCAGGTCCTCGGTCCTTCATCGAGGACCCAACACCACCTCCCTCACTCTGCCACCCCTTCTCTTACTGTGTCACCCCATCCCTCCCTCAGTCACTCCAACACCTGTTACCCCCTCCCTCAGCCACCCCTTTCCTTACTGTGTCACCCCCACACACACACACATACATTGTATCCACTATAAACACACTGCATCAACTATATACACACACGCTCTGCATCCGCTATCCACACACTGCATCCATTACAAAATACACACACGCTGCATCCACTATACATACACACAATGCATTCACTACACACACTGCATGCAATCCACAGACACTGCAGCCACTGCACACACTGCTTCCACTACACAAATACACACTCTGCATCCACTACACAGACACTGCATAACATAATGGATGTGGGCATTTTTTGCTTGGTGTGGTTTTGTTGGGCATGGGGGCAGCATTTCATCCTTTGATCCAGGCAGCACAATGCCTTGGGCCGGCCCTGGTGCCAAACAACTTAGTTACGTCTGTATAATGTCATGAAATTTGGAGCTTCACAACTAAATGTTAAAAATAGTATGAATATAAATGTATGATATACTGGCAATGGAAAGCTTAGGAATGACTGAGCAATATTGTAAGTGTGAGCAGGTAAATGCACACATTTTATTTCCAGTTACCCCAGTGATATTAAGAACATTAGTCACACTTTAACCACTTTGCATTCAGCTATTGATTTAGGTTTGCAAGTTCTTGGAAGGCTTGAAAATCTCCTGAGGATGTTGTGTTGAACAAGGAGCAATGTAATCCCTTCCTACCCATAAAACCAATTAACGTTTTGTTAAAATAAGGCAACTCTCAAGTTTCAAAACAGTATTTATGTTTCCTTTGTTTCTTAAAGGAACACTTCAAGCTTCTTAACCACTACAGCTTGCTATAGTTGCTTAACCCCCCCAGTAAATGGTCAAGCAGTTTGACTAAATACTGAGGATCCACCAGGACTCACTCCCCACCTTCTCTACTAATGTTGGAAGTTCCTATGTCAGCTGATCACTCCGCAAGCTGTAGTGGTTATGGTGCTTGAAGTGTTAAGATGCCATACCTGCCAGAATCTTGGTATTTCTTGATAGTCTACCCTCCCCCTCCCATACGTTGCCCCCCTCCCACAGACACACATATACATAGACACACACATACAGGCACACATACATACAAACACACACACACACACACACATCCAAACACACACATACATACACACATGCATACATACACACACACATACATACAAACAAACACACACACATACAAACGCACACATACATACACATACACAAACACACAGACACACACATACATACACAGATGCATACATACAAACAAACACACACATATACAAAATGGTTTAGTCACCCTCCTGTTTCCCATCTTTTAGGTGCAGGAGGGTGACTTCCCTGGGGTTTAGTGGTGGCTCAGCTGGATAGGAGTCAGTGTTCCCACTCTGACTCCCTCCTCCGGCGTGGTTCCCGGTGTAAGCTGGAAGGAATTGACCGGGGTAGTCACTTCCTCCCAGCTGTGATGTCGTCACGGGATGCCCGGGCACGCTGTTAAAGCGGCGCAGCGCTGACCAGACCCCCTGGAAATACATTTCCATCGGCTAGCCCTAACAGCGTGGGCCACCCTATAGGCTCCTTCAATGTGGCCCCGGCGGCTCTAAGGAGGGTCAAAATTCTCTGCCTGCGAGGCAGAAGCAGTTAAATCTGTCGTTGGCATACAGTGCGTGCTAACGACAGTTATATTTTATGCACAGAGCCTGGAGTTCCGGTTTGCCAATGTCATGTATTCTGGAGGTGCAGCTTGCCCCCGACACGCAAGTGCAAATTACTCTACATGTGCAGTGTTTCAAGTAGAAACACAGCACATCCAGATTCCTACCACCTTGACCACTTCAAAAACAACAGAAGTAGTCATGGTGGTTGAAGTAACCCTTTAATACAAATTGCATCTCCCTGGTACCTATAGCACTCCCCCTCTGCAGCTGCATAAAAATACACAAGCAACTCTTGTTAAATTATGAACCCATTCAACCTAGAACACCAATAATAATAATATAGAGATCCTGCAGAGTTGCTGAGCACTAGTGGGCATTTTAATTTTTTTTTAATATTGCTACTGGTACAATGATTTGGTTGAAGGCCAACAGGAGCGGCATAACACATTGGTTGTTGTCCTAAAAATGTAATGCGCGAGGATGAAGGCACCTCCCTAGTCTCTCCTGTGAAAAAGCAGGGAGGTACTCTGACCTGGATTTTTTACT